ATAAAGTGTCAAATGTTAGCGAATAATAATAATAATACTAGTAAATAATATTTTTTTAATTACAGGGAAAATAATAACAATATTAATTTGGAAAAGAAAGCAGATTTCTTCTGATTCAGAACCAAATTCAGTTAAACTGTTACAAGTTGTAATCTTACAATGTTACAAGTTGTTGTTAAAATCTAAACAGAATGCATTTCAGAATTTTACACATTAAAGGCTTCACAAAATTCAAACTTAATTACTGCAGGCGATAAATGCAACACCAGTGAATGGTAAATAATTGGATGCTTTTTGGGTTTTTAAGTATCGTCCATTGTACTAAAAGTTCATAAATCTAACAAAGTGACTAGAACAAAATGTTTGTACATTTATGGTTTTTTTTTTTTTTTTTTTTTTTTTTTTTTTGTTTGTTTTGTTTTGTTTTGTTGTTACTGTACATTAAATAGTAAATTTAAAATATTTTATAAGATAAATGACAGAAAATTGTCTAAGCTGTTCCAAAAATTTTGCAGAAAAAAAATTAACACCATTTTATCTAAGCAATTAAGGCTCAATATGTATGTGAATATGTATAAATAAGCATGGGAAAATCATTCAACACTTTAGAACTTGATAAAAATATAGTAAATGCAGCTTTTATAAACTCATAATTGTTGTTCAAATGCCCTTTTTGAATTTTTCACTAAAAATGTATGATATTGATTTTTTTAATAATAAATAGAAGATTGTCTGAATTTCAAGGTGCAATCATGAAATGCTTTTTAATTATCCTCATAAAAATAATGTAAAGCATCACTTTTATGTTGCAGCAAAGTGTTTGAAATTTATTTAAAATAATTATCGGATTATTAAATGCCAGGTCCGGGTTATTCGATTTAAATATGAGGTTACACTATAAGTAATTTTATATTTCAGATATTAAGCCCTTTTTCTGCATATCTTTGCAAGACTACTAATCATACAGTTGCTCTGAGTGGCCTAAAGAACAATTATATATTATCATGAAAATAGATTTTTTATATTTTTGGAAAATTAAAAAATATTGCTGAATGCTAAAAAAAATTACAACTGACAAAAGTAATCATAATAGCAGTATGTATTCAATCAGAAAGAAAAATTTAATTATTTGCTTCAAAATTGTTTTGCCATTGCTTTCCCCAAAAAGGCCACCACTTAACAATGCAACTACTAACCATCCACGAACAGTCCTTTCTTTTTAATGTGTGAAAACAGCTTCTTTCATGCATGCTTTTTACAGTTACTGTGTATCCAGACAAACCTGTCACTACATGAAACAGAAACAAATTACTTTGGTAACAATGGTGGATATAAGCAAAAACACACAGGAAATTGCTATATCTAAAAAATGTGTAAAAAATTCTTTTACATTATTGTACTGTTGCTTATAATGCATGCACTGAGTAGTACATTTCCAAAAAAAGTTACAAAGTTATAAAAATTAAATAAATTTTTATAATTTTGCGACTCTTTTGGAATTTTTTTAAATTTCTAAAATCTATCTAAAAACTGCCTATACAATACAAATGTGATATAAAGATTATACCAAGTTTACAATCCTTTATTTTTTCAATAAATATCCTCACCAGTGTGTGTTATATATTCATCATAATTAAGCTTTGAAAAACATTCTTCTGTGGACTTCTTTAAAAAAAAATTAAGAATTTAAATCGATTTAAATGATCTTGAATTTATTATTATAATCATTATTATTTGGTAGCATTAAGAATGTCCTTTTATTACTGTGTGTTCTAATTAATCTACTAACGAAGCCTTTATTTGTGATCTTTCTATCACAACTTTCATAATTCACTTGCTATGTAAACAACAGATGATGCTACTGCCACACAAAATTATTAATTGCTAAGCCAAAGCCATTTACACAGCAGCAGTTGCTGTCACAAGTGAAAAATTGTACATCCACCATTGCTCAGTATAAAAGTATGAACTTAAAAAATGTGCAGATTTTGTCTGCTTTTTCCACTGATGATAAATGCCCAACCTGAAACCTAAAACTTATGAAAACATACTTTTTGAAAACTTTCAATAATATTAAAATAAAAAATAAAATGCCACAATATTCTAAGGCACAATATTTTTTGCGCTATACCACAGTAGATGAAAGTGAAGAGATGAAGCCAATTATTTACGTACGAATCTTACTAAAGCAATGATGACATTGACATCTTTCAGATGCTACATAATAGTGCTTAAAGATTGTTTACAAATAACAATTGGTACATGGGAACTCTAAGTAATTAGAATTCACAATAATAAATTTGGCAAACAACATACTATTTTTTCCTCTTTTCCTTTTAACTATTTAAAAGCAGATTAAGATCGAGAAAGAAACAGTTTTCTCACAATTTTCAATAATGCAAAAGCAATCTGCATAATCCTCAGCCATCCATATGCAAGTTAAAAAATAAAGAAAAAAAAACATTTACATTTGCAACATATATTGTAAAACATTTCAATAAAAATATGGGACCAATTAAATTGTACCTTAAGTAAAGCCTATCCCAGTCTAAATTTAGTAAAAAAAAAAAAAAAAAAGAAAGAAAGAAAAAGAAAGAAAGAAAGAATTATGTAATAAAAAGGAAGCACCCGATTAAAGGAAAAGAAAATATATATGTACATATTTTGTACATTTAGCAAAGTAAACAAAAGGTATTCATACAGCTGTATAAAACTAGGCTTTAAGAGAATAAATTAAAATTCTTCATAAACTAAACATGAAAATGAAAATAAAACAAATTTTTTTGCTCATTTTTAAAATTTAAAAACTCAATATAATTTCAAGAAATAAACAGTCTATATGAAGTGGTCTCAAACTCAAATGGCTAGTGGACCTTATGCATGATATGAAAACAGTTGGCAGGCCAAATTTTTCATAACAAAACTGAAGCTTTTTTCATTGACAAAATAAAAAGTATTTAAAATCAATTTTAGAGTTCATTTACTAAGTACTTTTCCAAACATAAAGAAACTATCAGAAAAGAAAAAAATATTCAAACATTTATGTATTTTCTATCTAAATCTAAAGTTTCATACCTGCAAGATATTTTTGGTGGTTACACTTTGTAATACAAATAACTGACAGCTATATAGTATTCAAATTTCAGAGTGACTTTATTTAAAATATTTCTAACATGTTTAATTAATCAGTAAATAATTTTATTTAAACTGAAGGAAATCATGAAAACTTTACCCATAAATAAGAATATACATCTTTCTATGTAAATAATTATGAACTTTTTCCCTTATTAATTTTCAACTATGAAAAAAAAAGGTGTTCACATATAAATGTGCTTCTGACAAAGTGATTATTCTTAGCGCAAAGAAATCATTACTGGTTTAATTTTTGACACATATGAATAAAAGTTGTAATCTCTGCATCTTTAAAATCTTTGAATAATAAGATTTAAAGCATACTGTATATTAGTTAGCTCTATTATAGATTTTCTGATGTGTTATTCATGTTAGTTTTTAACCCCTTCATTTCCAATGTTGAGCGAATGATGCTTTTCCATGTGCCCATGACCTTGAAGGACTGAACGTGACAGTGTGCTCATATGCATTTTGCAATTAATCTAACATGTAAAAATAATTCCTAAAACCTGTTTTCTATCTAAATATTTTATTTCTCAAAGATGTTACTTAAATGTTATTTCTTATACAAAAATAAAAAAATTCTACTACTACTAAAAATAAAAAGGAAAATTCAGAACAAGTTAAAAGTGCAATATTAGTAATAATGATTATATTTTCATGTGTAAATTATTTCAATACAATTACGAAGTAAAAACATAAGAATTTATATATCATTATTTATTATATCCTATTCTCATATTTATTTTAAAAAATTTTTAGCCGCTTGAGCTGCGTGAAACATTTCTAAATCAGAAACATGTGTTGCTAGTATCATGTTTTTATGTTTGCAGAATAAAATAACAAATAATGTTAATTTCAAAAATATTGACACTGTACAGACTCTATTCTGTAACTTTTTTCAGCATTCTGGCATAAATTATGCACATTTAAAATCCGAAATAAAACCTTTGACTTCAGCATATCAAGTATGATACAATGGGCCATCAGTGAAACTTCACATCCTTATCATACTTAATACGGTGTGCCCAAGGAGGAAAACTTAGCAGTCTCATATATGATACACTAGGATAGAAGGGGTTAGTAGTAGTTAAAATAATGTAAACTCCAATAAATGCAGTAAATAATTATAATCTTAAAATCTTTATAACACTGTATTTGCAATAAATTCATAATTGAAATGCCTTCGTGGCCCACTTAAAACTGCTTCAGTTTGAGACGACTGGTTTTCATTATTACGGGGGGTAAGAACATCAAGGGAAAATGCATTAACTATGTTTTTTACTAATATTAATAAATAAGAAAAATCAAATTATTAAAAAATCAAATCAGAGACTAAAAATGGGGGATTAAAAACTGAAAACAAAAAATACCTATTTATAATGGAGACTATGTATTCAGGTGGAATATATTTAATTTACAGCTCTATTAATTTAATAAATTCAAAATAATGAATAACATGACCAGCTGGGAAAGACTGAGAAGAAGAAACCTCAGTTATGGTTAAAAATATTAAAAGTACTCCAGGTGCTTTAAAAAACTCCCTTTCTACAAAAACACACCAGAGTATACATTCATCCAAAAGGAATCACTTTGCAAGCCATTGCACACATAAGACTTAAGTCTGATGTTTCAGTTTATTTTGATTTTCATTTCATAAATAAATGTATACCTACTTTTTTCATGTTATTACTTTATATACCAAAACTGCAAATACATGGAGAATATTTTACAAAGGAGAAACATAAGAATTTAATATTACAAAATAGGCACATGGAAAAAAAATTTTGCAAATAACTTGCACAGATGCAAATGTTTTTACTCAGCTTCTCAGAATTAGCAATTACTGAAAATTAAGAAATGTTTACTCCCCCCTTTCAATTTTTTTTTTTTTTTTTTTTTTTTTTTTTTTTTTTTTTTTTTGATTCCCATAATTTTTTTCATTATATTTTAAAGATAAATTCACAGATATTAATAAGATTCTGATCAAATATGTTTAACTTTTATATCGATTCCTACACATTAAACATGAAAAGTTAAGTCTCAAATAGCATAATTTACACAAAAGAAGCAATTTTAACAATGAAATTAAGAATTATAATTTTAAAAGTCCATTCTCTCATTCATATGAATACACAGATATTGAAGAATGTATAATAAAAACAACTTCACAGAAAGAAAATTAATTTTTAAAGTTTCTTTCTCAGTATCACAGAGGAAACAAAATTCAGTATTTCAAAAGAAAGCAAAAGAATGGTATTGACAGAGAAGTAATTTTTTTTCTTCATATTTCTGGAAAACTGGAAAAACAATTCCAAATATATTATATGTTCAAGTTCATTTTTGAATGGAAAGATAAAACAAAGCTTTAATATCACACTTGATGTTTCTTTTCACTCTTAACTACTCTGGCTTTAATGCAAAAAGTATCACTAGTCATAAATGACTCACCTCAATCACTCATATTCAGACAACCTCTCCACATACACTAAAATGTATGTTGAAAACATGTTTTATGTACAATACTTAAGGCCAGACATCTTCTCCAATCACAATCCTTAATGTAACAAACTACAGGTAAATAAAAAAGGCTACAGCCTTCTCAATATTATACACTGTACAACTAACAAGAACACTTTTCTCAATTGAAATATATATCAAACAAATAAATGGAAAATCTTTAAACACAGAAAACAAAATTAATGTTTTGTAAATTTTAATTTACATAAAAAAGGACATCATAATGGAAGAAAAATCACTGGTTTAAAAAAGTAAAATTACTAGAGGTCTTTAACACAGAAATGTCTGCTTGTAAGCCAATGTTATTGCTGAACAACTGCTAGCCTAGAAAGCAGTATTTCAATATTTATCATGCATTTTCAGAAACATGTGAAATAAAAACAAATAATCTCAATAACTCCAACTAAAGCAATAAAATTTAATGGAATGCTTCATTGGATATTAAAAAATAAATAATTTATCCAATAAAGAATGCTTAGCAGCAGTTTGCTATCATTACATTTAAGTTATATCACTGAACAGAAAGATTTTTCCTTTTGCTGGGGGGTGAGAAAGGTAAAAAAGACTACACAATGATTCTCATTAAAAAGATAATTTTTTTAATAAAACAAAAAATACTAACCAACCTTATATTTACATTGCATAATCAGACTAAGGATAAATTTAAGTAAATTATTTTTTTTTCAAATATAAGTGCACATATTAAAAGTGCTATGAACAATTTTTCTCCATAACATATAAATTTTATCAAATTTGCTAACAATATTGCATCATACTGAATTAAAATGACCAATATAGTACTTTTATTGCAAATATATTTTTCATTACATATGATATAAACATATTAAACGCAGGATTTCTGATTACATTTTACAATAACATAATTGAATTTTGCTTGTTTTAATTTTTACCAACAATAAAAATCTAAAAGGAAAAAGAAAAACTGAAGAAAAAATAACAAAAATCCATAAAAATTTTAATTATTAAAATTCAGAAAGTGCTTTGTAAAACAAGTGACTCTTTACAAACAAAAAATAAAATATTTCATTTATGGTTTAAAGATGAAACACTTTTTTTCCTTTAAAAATAAACTTACCAGCAAAGAAGGGGGAAAAAGAATGATGCAAATGTTTACAGTATAACAAACACAATGGCAGTTCTAAATTTTCACAGAAGTTTATGATTCAAATTGTGATGAAAAAAAATTTGTACTTATTTTACCAGAAAGTTTGGCATTTCACATTTCTCAAAACATAAGTATGAAACCATGAAAACAAACCTAATCATTCACAACATGCCCTTGCCTGACAAGTTGAACAAATTTACAATATTTTGACAAATATAGAAACTTGTTTACCCATCAACTTAAATATATTCCTGTGAAATGCTTTATGTACATTTTTTTTTAATTTTTTAAAACAACTGACATATATTTAATTTGAAATTAAATATGAAAAAAAATTTTAAAAATGAGGTAATTCTAAAATGGTATACAGGAATAATCAAGTATCCTTTGCTTTAATGCAAGTTTATCTGGTTATATATGAAATTTGGTAGCTTGTTATATATGAAATAAGGGATTTTTTAATTCATTCTTATTAAGATGGAAAATGCAATGATTGGCTAGAAAAGTTTAAAACACAGCAGATTTTTATCTAAAAAAATTCTTGATTTATACAAGTTTAAAATTAAGATATTCAACTCTTTATAATCAATGAAGCCTTGATCAGTAAAGCAGATTAGACTTAAATGTTAAATTTTAGTGACTAATATTTCCTTTTACCTCTAACATGCCTTCTTTTTTTCTGCTATCAAAAACTATACACTAAATCAAAAACTATAGATTAAAAATTACAGTGCAGGATCTAAGAATGTCAATTTGCTGAAAATGGCACTGAAAAAAACTGTTCATAAATGCAAGAAACTTTCACCTCCAGAGTCTCTTTATATTTTGACAAATACAGAAAGAAAGAGGAACTTTCACCACCTAGGGTTTTCAGTGTCTGGGGACAGCTGAAGATTTCACATCCCATGCTGTTTGCTAAGAATAGAAAACACTTTATTCTAAAGTTCTGTAGCATCTATTTGCTGCCCCCTGGATGTTGTGAACCAGGTATACATGTTTTCCCTTGACCGCCCAGTTATGCCATTGTTCGCTTCTGTGTACTGAGTACAACCAAATTTTTAAAATGCCTTTGCTTTTGTTTATTTGTTGCAAAAATGTAGTACTAAATAATATTTCACAGAATTATTTCATTAACATTAAGAATTATAAAAATGTACTTTCAGCCTCAACAATTTGCATACTGGTAGTTTGACCTGGTTCAAGTGTGGATGAATTGGTTGGTTTTCCTCATATATAATGTGAATATGAGCCAATTTTCCTTAGAAAGTCTTTCACAAAGGCATCCCTTTCCTTAGGCAGATAGTCTCATGTGCTTTGCTATATTTAAGTAAGGTAACCTAATCTTTAAGCTAAACATAAGCTTGTGGTTACAAATACAATTTTAAACTGAATAAAAAAATTATATATTCACATAGTTGAGCATGATACAAACAATTTTTTTTTTTTTTTTAAATATAAGACAAATTCATTTGCATGTTATTTTCAAACAGTTAAAAAACTCAAATTATAGTAAACCAATTGTTGCAGCAATTTTTTTAATTAAGATAAAAATAAATCAATGCAAAATTATACTACAATTATTATTAACACTCAAATTATGACTATATCAAATTTTTTTAATATTTTATCCTGAAAATTTTTAATCACAGTGATTCTCTCAAATTATGACTATATGAATTTTTTTTAAATATTTTATCCCGAAAATTTTTAATCACGGTGATTCATGCATAATTCATTACTAAATAATAAGAGCACATTTTTTTCAAGGGTACTTTATGACATTACAGCAAATCAATATTTTTTATATGAAGCATTTGAATAAATATATTAATCAATTGACAGTCCTGAAGTTCAAAGGATAATACAATGCAAGCCAATAGTTTAAATATAACAACTGTATAATTTATAATCAGGTAGTATACCACAAATAATTTTAAAATCAACCCTCTCCCCCCAAAAAAACAGACTGTAAATACATTTTTAACATGCATGCAATGTAAAGCAATGGATACTTGAAATTTGGACGCTGTATACTCAGGTATTTCATAAACGAGAATAAAACATCTGAACAATTCAATAATAGAAAATACTTTTTACGACTAGTAGAAACTTTTAAAAGTAGTTTGAACGTTTAATACACTAGGTGATAAAAATCTCACTTAATTTCAAAGCATTAGCATTTTAAATGTACCAGAATTTAGATCACCTTTTAAAAAGTTTATATTAGTCATAATAAATGCATAGAAGTGTATAAGTAAATAACTTTGACACTTTCTGATTATCTGCACCCCCAATGAAAAGTATTCATGAGGCAAAGCAGTATGTCACCAAAATAGTTATGTGGCAAATCCATAATACTGCCAAAGAGTATTCATGTGGCAATCCAGGTTTGTATGTAGAACATACCTGTTTTGTTCGTGTAATTCTCTGATGTTTTTTGAGTGGAAACAGGTTGTTGTGTACATGGGAAGAACAATAGTGCAAAAACGAAAGATTTCTCGAAAAAGGTTAGATGGTTTTTATATTTTTAATTTTATTGACTGAGTATTCTTGTATCTAATTCTTAGTGCACCACCATTTTGAAAATGGCTAAGTATTAGTTTCCAATAAATTAATCACAAAAAAATTCACAACTTTTTGGTAGGGGTGCAGACAGTTAGAAAGTACCATAATTTTATGTTAAGCATAAATATGTAAAATTGAACAATGTTTAACAACAGTGTTAAGTCAAGAAGGCTTCTTATTTGATTTATACAGAGGAAACAGCCATAGGCAAAAGACAATTATTAAAAGCCTGTATTTAAATTGTTAAACATTACATCACTTTACACATTTATGTATACATTAAGCAATGACACAGGACATTTTTTTTTTTTTTTTTTTTTTTTTACAAGATGCTTTAAATTATTTAAAAAAATTATCCATTAGGAAGGAGGAGATTGTTTCCTAAATGATGATGTACACGAATGGAGAGTGTTCAAAATGACTTCTATGAAAAAAGCTATTTACAAATTTATACTTTTCTAAAGAAATTTACACACACACACACACACGCACACACACAAAAAAAAAAAAAAAAAAAAAAAAAGCAAGGTGGGAGTTCATTTTCAAATTCAACAGAAAACAATATATTACAAAATTTTTTGAAAAAAATGCAGGTACTTCCCCTTTTCGTCATAATATTTTAACTGTTTTCTTTAAATACATGATAACATAAAACCTTGGAAAGAATGATGAATGTTAGCACTGGCACTCGCATAAATGACTGCAATTTTGGCTCACAGCCACTGTGCATGACGACAATGACTATAAAAGCCACTTGTACTTCATAGGGAACACTGGAAAAAGAACTGATCACAACTTTTAACAAAAGGCAAATATCTTGCCTCTGAAATTGAATGAGCACCATAGAAATCAGCAAAAGGTTCATTTTCCAAGAGGTTCAGCTTCTACATTAGGGGACTGCTTTGGCAGGGTAGGGCTGGCCGCTAAGACAATTGTATCTTGCTTTTCTGCTACAAGTACACCATCATCTTGCTCTGAATGAATAACTAGTTTGCTTTCTGTTTTGTCATCAGTTGCAATTTCTTTTTCCTTTTCTTCAGTATGAGGATTAGCAAGGACTGATGTCATCCTCAAATTCTTGCTTTCAACACACTGTTCATTATTATTAATGATGAGAACATTAGTACTATTTTGAAGTTTTCGCATTTCTTTTCTAAGGTACTTATTTGTTTCTTGTAACTTACGTAGCTTTCCTCTTTGTGTATAATGAATCTTTTCTAACTCCTGAAAAATTAAAACTTACAATTAATAGAAAAACAAGCTAATTTAAAACAAATACATAGCAGGTTTTGATTACATTTATAGGCGAAATCTGCATTTTATTAAATTTACTTAAGTAGTTTTTCTAAATAACAGGAAGATAATATAGTATTGAACACATTTCAGATATGAATAACAAACTGTTTTTTTTTTTTTTTTTTTTTTTTTTTTTTTTTTTTAATGCCAGTTGTACTGCATATCAAGCTGTATTAGCAATTCAAATGACTTTATATATATATATATACATATGCATAAGTTTTCTTTCCTCAGAAGGAAAAAAAAGAAGAAGAAGAAGGCTCGTTTTGTAGAAGTAAATTCAACACAATAAGTGATTTAGTTGCATAAACATGGTCTTTAGTAACCCACACACAAAATAATCTAGGAGTAGGCATTAGATCAAGCTAGCCAGAAAACTAGCTCACTTATAACATACAGAGAAACCTCTCTTGGTTAAGGCCTAGAATGGTTACCTAACCATCTCAAAATGGATCCAGGATTTCTAAGAATATAAGTAATGTTCTTAAAAACACAGACAGTTATAGTCTCCAAAATGGCTATCTCAACAGAAGATCAAAATTGCCTGAAACTGACTGTCTTAGGTAAGTTTCACTGTAATTTGTTAGCATAACAAAATCAGATGCACTCCTTAAAGCAACTAACATTTGTAACTGAAATATTTTGAATAATTTATAATTGTTGAATTTATTTTAGAGAAATAATTTCAAAACATAAAACACTTAAACAAGTTCTGAATACATTTTCCACAAAAGCATGTAAAATACTCTCAGCAAATACAAATTCTGAAACATCTCAGAAAATTTTTCTGCTAACATCAGTGACTCATCTTGCACAAAATTTCAAATTAATTTTATGTTATAGAAACTTCTGACGAAGCTACACGATTCATTAAAAAAATTCTATCTCAGTACACATAAATTCTTATCTATCATTCACTGTTTGTCATATTTCACATCCTTCATCTAACAGTTCATAAACTATTCATTTTACATGCATCTGCAGTCTATACATGCACAAACTGTGACACTGTTTGCAAGTCTTTACTTCCTCAATTTGTAATTACATGCAAGCTGATATAATTCATATTTTATTATACTGCATAGATAGCATATTAAAGACTTTCATTCAAGATCTTACCAAAGACTTTGCCTTTCAGGAACTCTTTTAATACCACATTCTTTGAATAAATTAATTTACAAAAAAATAATCACTCTTCTTGTGAATAAATTGTATTCATTTAATTTTTTCATATATGCAAATTCTTTACATGTAAATTTATAATATTCACTCCAATAATTGAATACGATTCGGTGCATTTCAAAAACACTAGTGAATAAATTTAATTATTGCAGCAAGGTATAACTATAGAAGATGATGCATGTAAAGCAGCTGCACTATAACTTAATAGATGCATGCTATACTGACACTTATTAAACATGACTTTGGGTAAACAATCATTTTTGTTAGTGAATGTAGCATCTGAATAGCCATCAATACTAACCATCTGATAGAGTTTCTTCCCCTGAACAGCAACACTGAGGCACTTACGGTACTTGGCAATTAACGATTCAACTTGAGACATTATTTTTGTGCGAAGTGAAGCATCAACATCAGTCAATATCTTGTTAAGTTCAAGAAGTTCACTTTCTGCACTTGGTCGAAGCTCATCTTCATCATCTAAGTTAGCAAACAAACCATCTTCTGTTCCTGCTGAAGAAATGTTACTTCACTTCTTTGGACATCATCACAAAGTAAAGACATGCAGCGAAACACAATTTCTAGAAGATATTTTCATATCTGCATGCATACTCAATTTAAATTCTACTCAGCAAAATTTCAAACAATTTTATAACATATTAATCATTTATTTTATGAAGCAGCTGAAGCTTATTTCTCTCAATTCAAATAAAATCTAGTACATACAAAGTTCTTGATACATAATTTCTTTTAAATAAAGATCACTAGAATATTATCTTCTCGCACACTACAACCTCAGATTAGATGCTATGTTAAAAAGAGCTCAAATGATTTTCCAATGCACTGTTATGAGTGCAGTCTTTTGGGTGTTACTAACCATACTTAAATGAAGGCTTTCAATACGAGTTTTTAGATTTATATTTCATTTTACTTTAATAAAAATTATGATTTTTTTAAAATTTATTGTAGTTTTATGTTTAGATCAAATTTAATGCTTTTACTTCAGTAAATTTTCCTATTTTCAAAGATTAAATACAAAACCTTCAAACTGGTCCTTATTTTCCTCCTTCCCATTCTCAAACTGAATAATACCAGGCTGATTAAAAACACACTGGACTAGGTAAACTAAATTTTGAAAATTTACCAGAATGAAATACGGTCTCAAACGAATGTCTTTCTACATTCATGCACCAATCCCAGTTCTTGAAATACATCCCTTAGATGCTTTTGACCTCTGATTTTCCCTTCAAATCTCCCATTATGTCAAAATAATGATAATTCAGTTTCAACTTATGAAAGAACCTAAGAAAGGGTTAAGAAGGCCTAAGAAATAACAATAAGTCAAAAGGTGTGCCTAATCTGGTGAAGAGGACTACTGTCAAGTTTATTTCTGCCAAAAATTATTGCACCTTTAAGGCTTGGTCTGTTTTCTTAGTGAAGACACTATTTCCTCTAATTTTGCTTATGGACGACATCTTCGATGATGAATATCTTGCTCAGCTGAAAACCAGCACAATAAAACAATGTACTGATTATTTGATCTAGAAGGATGAATTTTCAGTGCTCACTCTCCTTCAGGTTACTGATTAATTTGATCTAAGGAGATGAATTTTTTGGTGCTCAGTCCCCTCCAGGTTACAAAAATTTATCAACATTGTCTTCACTGCCTTCTAAGCCTATCTTGGATTCTTTGATTTATTCTTTATTATGTATAATGGTAGTCATCCATTTTCTCATAAACCTTCCTTAAACTCTAATTTCTTTTCATGCTTTTTTCTGTCATGCTTGTATTTGGCATGCTTGTATTTTACATGCCATTCAAAACATGAGTTTGCCATAAGTGCCATGAAAACATTCAAAGAGTTACTGAAGTCAATTTTCCAAGAGATGCACTAAATTTATCAGTAGGTTTTTAATACTATTTGGACTGGTAACAAAAGTCACTGCCTACTAAAAACACATATGTCCAACTGGCACTTCGAATCAATTTGATTTCTCAAAATGCAGTAAAATATCAACCAACTAATAACAACAACTGATATAATAAAATATCTGCCATTAATGTCACTGCCAAATAATACTGGCATATTGGTTATTATTTTTAATCAGTCTGGTATACTTACTTCTTATTGGTCTTTTTAATAGCTTATCTTCAGAAATAATTTCCTTTTATTTTATCTAAAAAATTTCATGACTTTTTATGTAATTAATCCTAAGATTCTTAACTTCATGATTTATAGCTATTATACAAATACTGTATTTTAATGAAATTCATTTAAATTCAGCTAATGAGCCTTCATCTACTAAAAACAGCCCAAAAGACTGCATTAAAACATAATGTGTAATATGCTTACATGTGATATGCTTACACAGAAAAGTGCATGCAAATTGAATATATGATAAGTAAATCTGTATTGCCTTGCATATTATAAACCAGCTACATAATTATAAGGATTACACAGAAATTTATATTAAGATCAATGTATCAAGATCTTTCAAACAAAAGAACTGTATAGACAAAACATCATATTTACATTTATTAGTTAAAAAATATATGATTAAAAGAGGGGAAAAAATCCTATATTAATTACATGGAAAAAGTTCTCAAATTTAAAAAAAGAACGTTTGCAAAGAAGGTTCAATTTTAGGTCCTTTTATATAATTAATCGATACCCATCACAAAAACATACAATTATGAGAAGATAATTAAGTTCTATCTCCTTTTCTCTCTCCTATTCATTCATATATAAATTATTATTTTTATTATTTTCGTATCAGAGTTAACCCTTTTCCCCGCACTTCTTGATTGCTTCTATCACTTTCCTTTCTATGACTTGATCTTCATTAACTTGATTTAATATTATATTTTCTAATGATCCAAATGCTAATAAAAACAAATTCTAAAGATATAATCTAATAATAATGCTTAATCCAATACAAGCATAACAGCCTGATCTGAAATTTCTGTTCATTTGGAAAACCTATTGCAGATTAAAATAGGCAGATAGACACAATAAGCATTTTGTTATACAACATAAAGAAATTTTAAGATACATTAGATAAAAGCATATCTGTAAAAAATGAAATGTTGGAAGAGAAAAGTGGAAAAGGAAATAATTTTCTTTTGAATCCAGGAGTTCTATACAGAGTTCTAGTATACGGCAGGTTATTTTACTGGATTATAAAAGAGTTTATAGATGAAACTGGATAACAGTTTTGTACCTTTATGATGATTATATGTATGACCAAACTATATAAGAGCAATCAGAAATAATGAAAATCTAGCTATGAAAATTTAGTTCTTCATAATATAATAAAAATGAAAAGTACTATTAAAATCCTGGATTATACATATTTATGTAAGGTAATGCAAAATAGTTAATTCAATTTCAAATGGCTATATTTCAAAACTTAAGATATAAGAATGATCTGTGATGGAAATAATGAAAAAGGAACTATCCATCCCCCCTTCACTTATAGAGTATAACTGATAAATAAAAAGTCATTCATGTAACTCTCCATAATTATATGAATATAATATTTGTTGAAATTGCCTGGGACTGGATGAAATTAACTACTTTTACAACAACATTCACCACATATTTAAAGTTATAGAATGACTTCTTGCACAAATTTTCTTGTCGAATGATAAGTGAAAAACCATCATTGTACTATTACCAGATGCCTTCACATCAGGTGTACGATTATTAGTCCTGTTTTTTGCTCAGTCACAGAAGGAGCACCTTCTGCAGTCTTGGCAGACATATTGCTCACGTCTAACTCATATTTAGACAAGGTTTTTAGGATAGGACAAGGTCTTTAGGATAGATTAGACAAGGTTTCAGATTTATATTCAGACGGAATATAAATCTGATTCCTATGTTTTAAAGAACGCAAATCTGATCTCCATGTTTTCCCTTTAAGTGCAATGTTACTGACTAATTCCTTTACATTCGTCAAGTTTCTGTCAATGCCATGAAAAACAAAAGAGCTGCTTGTGTAATATCTATTGATTCATCCATCACTAAAGAATAAAACACAATTTACTTGCATTTGGATTTTAACAATCAAACATATCTGCTGCCAGATCCTCCATGCATCTCACTACTGTCACACCAGACAAGTTAATGCTTGAAATAGCCTGAGCCTGTGAGGGACAAAGCACCTCTGATTGACTGCACATTAAAGATGTTCTTTTACAAACTCTCCCTCAATGAAAGGTTTCTCATGTTTACCAATTTTTCAGCTATAATATAGCTAACACAAACACTATTTTCAGACTCTTTATTTATACTGAAAAAAAAAAACTCACAATTTAGCTTTGATTTTAATTCACTGACATTACTGAAATATTCTTTCTAATGCAGAAGATTTGCTATATTGCTTTAGTGTCAAAGAGCCTCTTGATGTTATATTCTTTCATAACAGTTACACATTGCAAATTAGGCAAACTGCCTTCCTCTTGTGCTCAATGGAAAAGTAAAGAGATGACAATTTTTCCTGGAAAAAAAATCATACTTCTTCAACTTCTCTCTTTTTTGTTATCATGCCTTGCCATTATGCACTCATTCGAAGACCAAAAATGCTCCTTAAATTCAAAATCTGAAATGAGTAACTTAGCTTAAATCAATAGTACCAACCTAGCTTATCGCCAACCAAACCAGGATGTTAACATCCACCTGTTCCTTTACCAAATAAATGACTGCAACATCAGGAGAAACAGAAATCCATTCATTTTTTTCTCTTCCCCTTCCACATTTCTGAATAACATGCATATAAAGTACATGAGAAAGACCTTAGGTGCGGTTTACCCTCAACAAAAGCAGAGTTGATTGAGATAAATATCAAACATCTTGCAAACTTCTCTATGAGAAAAACTGAAGAAAAACAAAGAACTGGAGACAGCTGCACTCAGAAGTTTTGTTTTTAACGTATCAAAAACAGCCTGGCAAACCACTAAAATATCACAGGAGGGCCAAGGTTAACAACCCTACTATGATGATGTGAAATGACAGTGATTTATGCTCTTGTGCAATACTATGTGCTACCATGTGCTATGGTAGCACATTATGCAGTTGCCAGTGCAAATATTCAAATACATTTTTCTGATCAGAAAAAAAATTCCTAGCACATTCATAGGATTTTCCTAACACTGCCATTGGCCAGCTTTGTGAAATATATCTTGGTCTTCTCAGCATTAAAATAATGATTCATTTCTGAAGAATTCAAGATTGTAAATGATGAATACTTTATACACTCAAAAAAGCTATTCTTATTCAATGCTGCATTCTATAACGAAAAAAATTAATTTTGATGTATTTTTACACCTTTTGAAGTCTGCATCATTTTTTGAAATATCATGTACAGGAATTAAAGATAATTAATTTTAAATATCACTGAATTTAGCCACTAAATTAAAATATATTTTAAGTATTTCTGAAATTTCTAAGAATAATTCCAGACAAGAATTATTCTTAGAAAGTTTTACTAAGACTTTAAACAATCCATCTGCCACTTTATATGAGCCTCATGGTCTATTTCATTTAAACTTTTTGTTGCAATTTGCAATGCTAAAGAAAATCTTAATTTAAAAATCTCACTTTCCAATTAGCTTTCTCAAATTTATGTATAATCCATTATAATTTATTCAATGATACACTTTATCATTACATATTTTTCCCCCTCTCCAAAAATTTTCAGCATTCAGCTACTATTCTGAATTGCAATATTCTAAACAAGAAAAGTAAAAGAGAAAAAGTAATTTAAATTTTTAATAAATTTCAAACAGAAAAAGTTACTTCATTATTCCAGTTTTCAGATTTTCTTTTCATAACCCTCATAATTTATAATTTGGGGAAAAATAATACTTATTGGGAGATTTTGGATTACTCTATCCCTAGTTAACAAACAATACTGAAAAGACTAAAGGAAACAACTAGAAAAAAACAACCACAAAATACACTGGGAAAAAATAAAGCAAAAACTATAAGCAGCATCTGAAATGGAGAGGAAGATTTAAATATTATATTGAGAATCACTTTCATACTATTCTTATGGAATGAAAATTTTAGGCTTCATCTTACCAGAAAGAGTACTAAAACTGGTATCTGAAAATGTATCTTCTGAATCAAAACAACAGGAATTTGAATCATAATCATGTTCTTTTTTCAGATTTCTTTTGCTCACTGTTTCTGTTTTATGGGCATGGTAAGCTAGGACTGCTTGATCTTCAGGCACTTTCATCAGCCCTAATTTCTGGACAGCGGCTGAAGTAAGTGCAAAATTTGTCTGGTAATGATTTTCATGCCTCCTAAAATACACAATAAAATATATAATCAATATTACCAATCAACCTAATTTATTCATGTAATTTTATTCTGAAAAATGCACTTTTGTAGCATTAAAACAGTAAAACTACATAAAATATTTAAAAGAAAACTATTAGATACCTCAGAATTAAAATATAAGGGAGGAAAATTCTGAGATCTGAGATATATTGAACTATTCCTAAATAGACTAATTTCAACTTTAAAAAAAAAAAAAAAAATGCAAATTCATTTGCTCTTAAAGACTGGTATGACTTGGTTTTGTTTGATTATGGCAAACCACTCGAAGGTTATCTGCCTAGGAAAGTGATGCCTTCATGAAGGACATGGAAACTGGCTCATATACATATTTACTACATGGAGAAAACCATGAAAACACCTATGCAGCCAGCCCATTTGCTGGAATTTGAACTCCAGACTGAACTACCAGCATTCAGTGACTTCACCGTTTGGTGGCTGTTCTTAAAGAAAAGAAGCTAAATGTAATAAAATTAATTTTTATTTAAAGAGAGTTTTTTTTAAAAAAAAGGAGAAGAAAAAAGCGTACTAATTGTGCAGGCTAGAGGTAAAAATTAGACATGCTATGCTTAATTCATAAATTAAGTTACATCAACTTAATTGCTTGACAATAATATTTAAATTTAATATATGTATCCAGGATTTTTTAAATTTTTTTTAAAGCTGCTGCAATGGAAAAGATACAAATAGCAAACACTGCAGCAGAAGTGACAGCAAATGACAAATGAAAAGGATTCCAATACACAACATAAATAAATACAAATCAATATTGGTTGAATTTTTATAATACTATTAAATCATTTGATTTACACCAAAAACAGCCTGGCAAACCACTAAAATATCACAGGAGGGCCAAGGTTAACAACCCTAACTATGATGATGTGAAATGACAGTGATTTATGCTCTTGTGTGCTACCATGTGCTATGGTACTATGTACTACCACATGCAATCCACTGGTTGAAAATGTAGCATTTAGGTAATTCAACACTTCAATGAAAATGGTTCTCCATTGTGATTGAACAACATTTATCCTCGGATAGTTGCTGCAACAACCTGCAGTAAATCACTTTACAGAACACTTTTCTAGGAAAATATGATAGTTCCCTTTATTTAGATGTGTTTTCAGAATAACTACACTACATCTTTTAGTTTGTGTGCTTATTCCTAGCTGATCTTCATTACACACAGCACAGTCTTTATCATATTCAGCATTCTCACTATACATGATGTATTATGACAGTCAGTGAGGAAAAACCTCATTTTGTGCAGTTACCAGTGCAAATATTCAAATACATTTTTCTGATCAGAAAAAAACATCCTAGCACATTCATTGGATTTTTCTAACACTGCCATTGGCCAGCTTTGTGAAATATATCTTGGTCTTCTCAGCATTAAAATAATAATTCATCAATAATAATATTATCAAAAGAATTTTACAAGCCATTTCATATTTGAATAAATAATTTCATATCACTATTCTTAATTTCAAAACTCAGTTTTTGTTGATTTAAAAAATATTAATCATTATTTGATAAGCAAAAATATTGATAAAATATATAACAATATAAAAATAAAATTTAAACATTTCTTCATAACATTTTAAAGGCACAAAATAATTTTTATATTTTAAAATTTAATTGTTTTTAAAAGCAATGAAATAATAGAACATATATTACATAAAATTGATTTAAAGAAAATATATCATTAACTAAACCGAACCCTTTTACTAAAAATAAATAACCTTTTAAACTTCAAACACTATTCTTTTTTTCATACCATCACTTTGATGTTTTACTGAAAGAAATTTGAAAAGACATGACATTCACCATCATGTATTTTTGTAACTAATACTCAAAAACTGCACATGCAAAACCATTTTTACTTTTGGAAGTTCACCTATTTATGCAGAAGGACTTCTTGCTATGGTTTGTTTTAACAACTGCAATCAGCATACATATAAAGTGCATAATTGATATAGTGCACAAAAAGTTCATTTAATGCATAAATAATAACAATTAATAAATTTGTATGCACATACAGAGGATAACTCCTGCAAGACTCATCTAAATTCAAAACACAATGAGCTTATATACAAGGGTTTTGACCTATGTTTTAGTCGTTATAACAGAACTAAACTGAAAAGATTGATGAATTCTAGATCTTCAGTTGTTTAGCTTAATTTCTTTTCTTGGAATCATTATGCATTTCATATGTTTAAAAACAAAGCAGAATTCAGTGCTTTCAGATTATCCATAATCCCATGGAAAGTTGTCAATGAATAATATTGGCAACTTAGTGATAGGTATTTGTTTGGATACTTTATGCTGAAGTGACCTTTCTGAAATTTTTTGAGACAGAATAAAAGTTTATATGGCCAATATTTACATTTTTACAGCCAATGGTTTTTCTCCAGCAAAATGAATCCACATTAACTAAACATTCGTATGATACAGGCATTAGTGAGTTCGTTACTGTAACATGCACACTTAAAAATGCATTTAAAAAAAAAATGACAACCAAATGTTGATAGGGAGTGAGGATAATGAGAAAGTACCTGAAACTCTTAGGGGGGGAAACTACAGCATCTAGGAATTTTTTAAACTTTTGCTTATGGAAAATTAACAAATCTTGCATTGATTTAATGAAAAAGCTCTTAATAACACATGAAATAACCTATCTCTAATAAATTTAAACAAATTAAATTTAAATTTTAACAAACACATATAAAAGTAAAAAAGCAAATTTAAAGACAAAATTAAAAAAAGCAAACTTAAAGCCAAAAATATATATATATATATATATATTAAAAAAATGTGTAAACATATAAAAGATTTAATTCTCGAACTAATCTACAATATAATTTAAATTCAGAAGCATAAGCAAATCAAGTACAAAACCAACCCATGAAAATAAATTCACTAATTTAGCAAATTAAAATTAATCCATACAATTTTTTTAAAAAATGCATAAGTGAATGACTGTTGAGCAGGCAGGAGACAGACTTATCAAGGGAAAGTTGCCTCCAAACCTAACTCTCCAATCATTCAATTCGTGTTTCGTCATTCATGCAGGCAAGGGTAAAAGTCAAAACCAAAAGTAAAAAGTGAAGAATGTCCAAAAAGAAATACTACCAATAAAGTGGTACCCTTAGAAATTAGCATTTAAGAATTAAAGTTTTAAAAGGAAAATACTAATGAAGTCTTTTGAGAAACAAGCAAGTAAAGTCAAGTATTAATTAAACTTTTTTTAAAAAAATTAAGTTTAAAAAAAAACTAACTTTTTATAAAAAATAATCTAGAAACTAATGTATTTTAGAAACCCTTGTCTACAGAAACCTCCCCGACACGAATATGCATATCAATAAAAAGAAACTAAAAAAGAACTAGACATAATCCATATAAACCAATAAGAAACATAAAGAACTAATTTACAATTTTTAAAAAACAAATATATACTTAAAAGTATAATTTCATATCTAGAAAATACTTAAATACTACATAAAAAATTTTAAAAAATACTTAAAGCAAGTAAATAGTAAGTTTTAATTCTAACTTACCTACTAAATGAGCGTTGGGGTCTGCAAAAGTGTTTTTAACCCGGCGGAAGTCGCGCCAAGAAAAGTTACTAGAGTGGGAGCGTGGGGTATCATATACCCCAATATTTAAAATACAATAAAAATTGTTTTATTTAGTTTTGAAGCTGTTTTTCTTGTTCTCATGTATTATAAATGCGTGAATAATAATTGGGTTTCAAAAAATTAATTTCCAAAATAATCTTAGAGTTAAAATTAAGATAAATGAAAATGATAAAAAAAATAAACATCATGCCTCTACATTTCATTGCATCTTTAATACACAATGCTTATTTTATTTCTTTACACTTTGAACAAAAATACATTCATGTGTTCTTGGCACAGAATGTTTTCACATTTTAAACATTGCATTCACGTTCTTCTGTCCTCGGCACGATTACAATGAAAGTGAATGCCTTGCAAATTTATCACATCTTTCATACTTAGTAGTTTCGAATTTCATGTTTTCGTTTTAATTCTTCGTCGAAACTTCTGCTTTTGTTTTGCATGTAGTACCTCAGTTTCTTGGTAAAGTATTAATCTCTGATTTTTTGTTCAATACTTTTTTCATTAACTGTATTGCTAAGTTCTTCAAAAACAGACTTCTGTTTTTGGTTGGCGGATTAGCAGTTGAATGTAATATAATTCAAGCATTCATTAGAACAACATTCAGTGCAGGAAAGAAAATTACCATTGGCAACCTCCTTGTTATTCTGGAAATTTAATAATTGGCTGACATTTCATCCCACATATCCACTGCTCCTTTAGTCATATTATAAAAACATATAATACCTGACGTTGTATTTTCTCCAATAGTATCATCTATAGTATGATTGTTATATAATGTTGAAATGTTTAAAAAATAATGTAAATGTAATAAAAAAGGAAAAAATAATGTTTTTCCTTTTTTAGGAACATCAGGCATTAATGTTTTATCTTTTTCAAAACCAAAACAGTGTAGAAAATATTCCTACTTTCGTCTTCAGTTTTCAAAATCCAATCTTCATTGCTTTCAAATATTTATAATAAATCTCACAGGCGTTGCATCTCCAGTTCATAGGGAGTCATTCTTTTTACCATATGGTTAGAAATTTTTAAGAATTTAATGTCAAGTACTTTAAAATCACTTGCGAGTAGAAATATTTACTGTTACACTCTAGAAATAAATTTCTGAACTAAATATTCAGTCAGAAAAACACCTACGCGGATAGGCGCGTGGGGTGTGTCATACCTCAGATCCAACAAAATACCGATAAATCTTTTTTTGAAACACACAGGCAAAGAAAAAAGCGGTTCTGAAAGTCAACCACAAGTAGAAACTCAGCTACTGAATGCAGCACAGAATTTCAGTTCCACAAGTTAGGAATATTCCACTTTTATGTAGGGGTGGGGTATGATACACCCCACGCGCTTTCCCGCGTGTTAAAGAGAAGTAAGTGTGTTCTTCAAATTAATTATATAGATGGCGCTTATGTAGGTAAAGTTGAGTGCCAAGCTGCTATCTTTGTTATATTAAAAATTTTTTGCAAACATTAATATTAAAAAATATATAAAAATAAATCTAGAAAAAATTAAAAATTAAAAATCTTAAAGGTATGTAATTCAAGTTATAATTTTAATGATAAATAAAAGCACTTATGTATCATCCCATCAAGTTTGAAATGGTCAACGTGTAGTGCAATTTAGGGCCAGTTAATGGATATGTGTGAATCAGAACATATAGAAACCATCTACACTTTCGGTTGATGTAACCAAGGATAAACAATGGAGATGCAACATAAAAAACTGTAGGAAGAGAATATCTATTCAGAAAGAGACACAGTTCAAGAACTATAAAATCACATTTAAAACCATGCTTTGGCTCATTTAGAGCCTGTTGAGAGAGTTAACATCCACTGAATGGGGAAAAGAACAGCTGGGATACAGTCAATACAATAATAATATATTGGAACAATTGCCTGCAGAAAGTCTGTGCTCAAAGTGTTCTAAATAAATAAACTAGTAAAATCAGTTGGCCTAATAAAATAGCAGAAGTCAGTAAAACCCTTTTATGGAACACAAAAACAAAGTGGTTAGAAAACTTCCACAGCAGTGACTAACTGTAGACAGAAGTGCAGCTTAGAATTCCACAGCTTTCAAGGTTTGATGGTGCCAATTTTCACAATCAATGGGAAAATATGCAAGTTCGAAATTTATAAAACAAAACCAAAAATATATCAAATAATACTACACATGTGGTACTACAAACAGAGCCTGGTTTCACAAATATTATTGAATAATTACTACAATAAAAAAATTCACTTCATCGCTTGTTTCATTTCACTTGAACAATATATGGATAATATGTCTGTCCTATGTCATCAATATGATATTACTACATAAAATCAATGAAGTAATCATATATAAACTTTTGGTAAGCATAGTTCCAATCCTGAGAAGAATCGCCAAACAGTGTGTTATGTTGTCAAAATACACAAATCATAATTTTAGGAAAATGTACTTATCTGGCAACCCAACATAGGCATGCAGCACATAACAACAGAGCAGAATTTGGCTTTTGAGATTCAAAGGCCATCTTTGTGGCTGCTGATTATTCTGATTAGTACAGTTCCCCCCCCCCTTCTAACCCCCCAATTCTAAGAAAATAATGCAAAAAACAAACAGAGTTGTCAAAAATAAAAACATAAAAGGAAAATAAACTATTATCTGGCAAAAACATAGGCATGCAGCACATAACAACAGAGCAGAATTTGGCTTTTGAGATTCAAAGGCCATCTTTGTGGCTGCTGATTATTCTGATTAGTACAGTTCCCCCCCCCTTCCCTTCTAACAAATTATAATGCTACTACAGAGTTTGCTAATGCTAATGAAAATATTACTGCTACTACTAATGAAAAGAAAATGCTGCCTATGTAAAAGAAAGTCCATAATTAAACACTCAAAAATTACATAAAACAGCAACAAATTAACTAGATTTAAAAACAAAAGAAGAGCATCCACCAGCTGTAAAAATGTTAATATTGTCAGAATTTATTTTCATTATTAGTGTAAAAGCAATAATATGCATACAATTTTTTTTTTTTTTTTTTTTTTTTTTTTTTTTTTTTTTTTTTTTTTTAAAGTTAAAACAGGTTGATGTCCGCATGGAAAAAGAGTGAGAGAGAGAAAAAGGGAAAGTGCTTTATTATGGATGCTTCTTGCATTTTTAATTTAGCTAATTTGTCAATGTTTCATGTAATTTTCAGTGTTTTATTATTGGTATTTTTATGTAATTTTCAGTGTTTCATAACACATATTATGAGTTCAAAAACATTCATTATGAAATTGCATTTTATTCATGAATTTGTTGCTGCTTTATGCAATTTGCAATGTGTCACTATTTTTAAAATGACTACTGTTTCTCACATCTCTAGTTGGCATATAATTTGTCACTAAGTATTGGTAACTTTGCTGAAGAGATGGGCAGATAATCAGACGGTACAGATTTCTCTTTCTAGCTAAAATGTTTTCCTCAATCAGGAACAGAACAAAATTGTAAAATAATGGTAATAAAAGAGTTCCTGTGTTTAGTGAAAAATTTTAGAATCACTGCACTTTTATTACTTGCAGTCAAAAAAACAAATTCTTTCACAGAAACACAAACAATGTTAGATGTAATGATAAATATTATAGCTATTTTAAATGTATAGTTTTAATTCATATCTTTAGATAAGATATTCAGCAACAAATTATGAAAAAGGACATCATAACATTTCCAGAACAACAAATTTTTGTGTTTCTGAAAAAAAGCTACCTGCATCAGTGTTGAAAAAACAGTGTTTCCAAGAAAAAAATAAAGCTCCTTCTGTTTAAAAACTAAAAACTAACTCTTCTTTGAATAATCAATAAAATTAAACTTAATTATGCTGAATAAGCCATCCAACTAAAATTAAATTCTTGATTTAAAATAAGTAAACTAATGTTTTTAAATCCAAGAAATTATTTTACAATCAAAAAGTAAATTATTTACTTTGCTCAAGATTTTTTCAAACATTTATAAAAATAAATAACTATTTCAGAATTTAAATCACTAGACTGCTATCTGAATGATATTGATAATGACACTAGATTGCTAGAATGAATATAAATCTGAAAATACAAGAATAGTGGTTAGGGAAGCCTACTACAGTACCAAAGGGCCCGGGTTCGAATCCCGGAGAAGACATGGATGTTTGTAAATGTGTAGTATTGGTGCAGCATGGTGGCACTCTAAATACGTGGCCACCAAAAGTCCTCTCGTGTGGATTGGTGGGTGAGGAGAGGGGTGGGAGACTCCCAGGTGCCCCCGCTGGGAGGCTCTCCCTCAGAATTGGGGGTAGAAAATAGAAGTCCAACCTTTCTTCAGAGTAGGCTCTGACAACCACTGTTCTATGTAATATGGACAATATAACAACAACAATGCAAGAGAAAAGTAATTTAATTATTACTCTTTGAAAATGGTAGGCAAAACGTCGGGAGGAATATACACAGGTTTTCCGTCTTTGGTGATCACAGGGGGCAAAGGTTTGAAGGCAGTCACTTTGTTCCACAGGGGATTGGCATACCAGTACACCAGCGTTGGATCCAGAGAATATGGATAAGGATAATAACTCTCCACCCGAACTCGTTTTGTAGGATCACAGCTTTCAGCAAGGATCTGAAAAACAGATTCCGATTGAAGCAAACATATTATCTAGTTTTTCAGGTATTAATATTTATTAGAAATACATATAAACACTACCACAGAGACATAGCAAAAAACAAAGGCTTTTCAACCAGACAGCAGGCCCCCCCCTTGGAGGTTTTTTTTTTTTTTTTTTTTTTTTTTTTTTTTTTTCCGGGGGGGTGGAGAAAGGGATCAGCCTTTTACTTAGCTGTTAGTACTTAGTTCATGAATATATATATAAACTAGTTTTATTCAGGGTTTATTATTTATTAACAATTTCTATACCCTTTGTTGTTAATTTATAAAACACATTAAAAATAATCTAAATTTAAATAAATAAATGCATTTTGAGTTTTGAAAAGAAGGAGGAGGATCTTCTAGGGGTGCTGAAAGGGAAGCATGGGGCAAAAAAGGTAGAGAAAAACTGCAGTAAAACATAATCACCTAGTCATGTATAATTCTGAAAGAACATTTAAAGATGATGATGATAAAAATAAAACAAAAAGATAATTACACAGATCTTGGGAAAGATCATATTGCTGTTTCCTTATAAAACAAATCAGAAATATGCTGTATTATAAGTATAGAAAAAGTAAATATTATTGTAAAAACTAAAATCTTTTTTTTTAATTCAATTATGTTCTTGGATAAATATTAAAACTGCATTCTAATATTAATGATGTAATATTAAAAGTATTTCCCCCTTTTTTGTATAGAACAGAACAATTTGACTTCCCCCTATAAGGTATTTTTCCTGCCTTCTTGGCATGCCTTCATGGTGTGGTGGTCTGCACACTGGGCACATATTCTAGAGGTCCATGCTTCAATTCCTGGTGAAGGTGTTGCATATTTTTCATCTCTCCTGCTTCCAAAAATAAAGCTAATGACTCTACAAATGGTGCCCGAACTAAATGGGTGGTGGACAATGATTCTCCTCACCCAGAATTTGGTGATTGGGTCCTCTAAAAACACCAGTCTCCCTTTAAAAGGGGGAGTATATAAGGTATTTCTCTAATCTTCTTGGCATGCCTTCGTGATGTGCTGGTCTGCAAATCGATTTCCTACATTCATACAACCATTCCTAAGAATGAGTAAAATTCTTGGAAAAAATCCTAAATAACTGAGAAATTTTGATACTGATATGTCTGCTTTAACTCAAGTTTTAAAAAACACCCATCCCTCCCCAAGAAAATTACACCCTTCTGTCAATATGAGGCACAGATACCGTTAAGTCCGCTTCTATTTACAAACAAACTGACTACTCACAGCATTTTGTATATTGATATTACTGTTCAACACAATTATTTCGCTTTTTTTTTTAAACAGAGATTCGACGAAAGAAAAATCGGAAATTATTTTTTATCTAGAAATAATGATTAATGCAAAAATAATTAGTTTCAGCCCTGTGAAAAACAATATGCACTGAAAGGATTCGTTGTTTTTGTAATGGCGGATGGCAAATATCAGAACTAGTGCAGTAGCTGTATTTCACGTAGAAAGTCAATCTAAATAATCCAACATTTAACATTAACAACAAACTTTTAACAACGAACGCCCCGTTAAACTTAGAACAATATTTGCAAATCTCAGACGCTTTCGAATAAGAATGGAGTTACATATTCGGAAGCATGAGTGTGATAATGAGATGGCGAGGTGGGAATGGTTTCATAGGATACTTGTCATTTACAAATTCAAGACAGAGAAATATGAGGAATGTAGCAATGGCAGTAAGAAGGAATGTGCTATTTCAGGGAAATAAAAATATTGGAGGAGGTTTCGTATTCTGCCATTTCATTATGTATCAGAATGATATTTTGATTCACAAACTAATGTGTCCTTCCTCACTTTTTTGTTTCATCCATTATAAGATTGTAATGTTCCTCCCTTTTATTCTACTAAACTAAGTGTTAAGGAACCTAGTGAACAGCTAAGCGAATAATCGCCAAAGTCCAAGAACGGAAACTCAAGAATTACCCTTTAACTGCTCAAATAAAGATTTAACAGTTGGCCCCTTTCTCAGGGCGTACAGCAAAGCCTCCACTTGGGTTTAAACTCAAAATGTAAGAATTAACTAATGGCTAACAAAAGAGATTTAGCCGAAGCTAACACAATTCTAAATAGATGGCCCATAATATTAACTTGGCCAGCAAAGCTATCAAAGGCTCGTAATACGACCGAGCGTAGTAACAGTTTGAGAGACGTAGCCAAAAGGCAACCGCGCGCTATTCAAGAATCCTAACCCTCTTTCTTGAAGTCAGTGGAACTTAATGCTTTCACTTCTTATTTGCATTCTAAAAACTGATTCTGGTAAGAAATTGTAAACTGAAGCTAGAAGAGATAGAAAAGTGTCATAAACTTAAAACAACTGCTATAGAATTAAAATATACCTTACAACATAAAGAAATTTCCTCAGTAACCGAAAAAGGTTAATAATTTCCAAAGATTCACTTTTGAAAGATTAACAGCTTACACAAGCTCCATTATGGCTACTTTCATTTTCAACAACCTTTCTATTTTCATTTATTTCATTAATATCTAGGCGTCGGCAAAAAACGACTATCTATTTGTTGTAGTTCATGAAATGGAGTTGAATAGTTTAAAACAACTTTAATGTTAAATCATATGGATTTTCTGTCCCAAAATTCCAAAATGGCTGTTACAAAAACTTCCGTTCAAACGTCCTTATGGCCCGAAAGGCCACTTCTTAAGAGCGAAGGCGCTAAAATGATCAAGGAAATAGAAATTAACAAAGAATACTGTATAATCTCTAAAAAGATGCAAATTAATAAATTGAGGATTAACCGTGCCCTGCTTATAAGTATATATAATATATACAGTCAAATCTCGCTTAACGAGCACATCCCATAAGGAGTGATTCGCATAGAGAGATTCTCATTGATTAGAGAAAACAAGATGTCAATAAAAAGACCATCTTAACGACGTGGCAGCTGACGTGAAGACATCGTGACGTCACGTGCAGGATCCTGCCAGCATCTCAGCTATCAGTCTGCACTTAGAACTCCTTCAGCTATCAGCTTCAGCATCTGACTGTCGCTGAGTGAGCGCCTGTGGAGCCTATTATGTGTCTATGGTTAACAGTATGGGGCTAAAGATGGATACACCGACATCGAAGACCTAGTTGAAGAAATATATATTGTTGAATATCCAGGAGCTGACCACCGAAGAGATTATGAAGGTGTATTCTGTATCGCAGCAAGTTCGTTGTTGAAATTTCCTCAGAGAAGAAGGAGATAATAGGTACAGCAAAGGAACTACCTTCCACTGAAATAAGAGAAGAGAAATGCTAAACACATGGGAAACTGTTGCGGACGCTGAAAAGCATCATTCTAATAACGCTATAAATGCTTTATACGTTACAAATTTATTTAACGATAATGTTGTCTCATTTTCGCCAAATTTTGAACTGCAGGCAGAAACAAATGTCTTTGAAGAACTTCCTTGTAAAAAACAGAAGAAAAAAAAAAGTATAAAATATGTATTATAAATTTATTTGAATCCCCTTTCGGAATGGAAAAAATTATTCTATTTTACACCGTTTTTTATGGGAAAAAAAAATGTTTAGCTTGATAAGTGTTTCGCATTACAAGTAATATTCGGTAACAAATTATGCCCCTTTAGAGAGGTTCCACTATCTAAGATCAAATTTATTTATTGCGTAATGATCGAAAAATTACCAACAAATCATAAACAAAACTATCTAAGAAAAAAATTCATGAGAGAACAGCAGTAGTAGCTGATGATGGCACAGTATTTGGGACTTATTTAATTATATGTAGTACTTCTAAACCTTATAAACACTGAGTAATAAAAAATATAAAATTCTAACTGCAATCTTTAAGCGAGTTTGAACTCAATAACGTCATTCAAGTTCTCTCGTAAATATTGTTCTGTAATGCTATTTACAACTTAAAAGCCGAAAACGTCATCTCCGATAAATAGGAATTCACTACATACCATTATTATTCTTGATATGTAGTGTATTCAAATTTAGAAATGTTATTTTACAACGACGTAGAAATTATAGAAAACACAGTTCTTTGTACCAAAATGGAGCTGCGATCTCAAAATAAACCTGAGTTCTAATTGCAGATTTGACAACTAAGAATGTCATCACCATAACAAACTCGGAAGACGTAAGCCAGATAGAACTCCAATATCTTCCAAGACAGAAGAAATCACTTGAGTTCGATATCTAGCAAAGGAAAAAAAAAAAGAAAGAAAAAGAAAAACTATAAAAAAAAACATACGCACACGGCGTCAATCCGACAACAACTACGTCGTAAGTCGTGCGTACAGGTTTCATACTATCCCCTTCTGTCTCTGCTGTCGTTATTTTCTTTTCCCCCCCTTTTTTTATTATTATTATTATTATTATTATTATTATTTTGCATATATATATATAAACATGGTCGTTCACCCCGTTCTAGAATGCAGCTTTCCTTTGGCAGACTTGAAAGATGACTGGCGCCTGTTTCACAACACTGAGGTCTTTCCTCCCCCCCCCCCTTAAACATCCACCACATCCCGCGTCCTTCCTCCTTTGATGGGAGTTGTAAAACGTCCTTAACATCAATATTGTTAAAAAAATTAAAGCATTAGAGCGATAAGAAAGGCAGATAAGGTTAATTCCCCACAGCCGCCGCCGCATTTATCTTAAACCATAGTTTAATTCCTCCCCTTCCGTTCAGCTTAAACAGGCTGCTAAAGAACTTCGAACCTGTGTAAAAAAGAGGGATGGTAATATAAAAAAGGTCAGTTTCTCATTTAAAAAGTTGCAAATGAGATACACAACAGTAGCTTTTATTAGACGATTATTACGGACAGATCTTCGAAGAATGCATAATAAATAAGTCCAAAATTCTAGTAATAATAAACCAATTAAAAGCAGAAATTCGATTGTAAAATCTTAGGCTGTATAAATTTGCTTCAGATGTTGATAATTTAGTGGCATGAATTTGTGTCGCCAACTGCCACTTTTCAAACCTTAGTTGGATTTAATGTAAGAAAAATAAATAGTCGAACATTTTTATGATACATCATTTATTTTACAGATAATAAGTACAACAGTTTTAAAAATGAAATTATAATCTGTTGAAATCACATTTAAGTACAAATAACTTGTCGCCCATTGAATTTTAAAAAAATAAAATAAATTTTTAAAAGATCTGAAAGGATTCAGATTTTAATGGTGGTCTTAAAAGGATTTGTTAGAATTTTTTACGCTTTCTTTGAGCTCGCAGTCCACCTGTCTACGAGTCACCGTCGCATAGTCTCGCGCGCTGGAGATAAATGCCCCCCCCCCGTACAGTGTTACTATTGCTCGCTTTGAAATTGTTGAGTTTGTTAATCAAAAATTCGTTAAAGCTTTACAAATTATAATAGATAATAAAACAAATTCAAAATTTAGGCTTCTAGATGCCCATATTCAAACAGAGGATTACGTTATTCAAAATTTGATGTCTCTAGCTACCGTTGTTTTTTTACTATGCGAGAAACATACGTATATTCATTCATGCAGATTCTTCATTATTTAATTCCTCTAAATATAATACAAGGCTCTAATATATGGTGGCAACAATTTGAAAAGTGAACCGACATTTATAGAGAATCAATCCAAAATGCCAAAACGAAATTAATAGTCCTTCCGCGCAAATTGCCTCTTTGGATTTTTTTTCTTTTTTAAATGGCCCTAATAATAAAATCTGAAAGCATTCAGATTTTCTTTTCTTTTTTCTTAGAATAATATCCTTTCCCAAACATTACGCAGTGAACAAGATC